TCACACAGCTAGTAATTTTTTTAAAAAGTGTGACTTATACTCAGGCCCTCTTGCCCCCAAGTCCCACTCTCTAGCCACCATACTCACTGCTAGAAAGGAAGAGGCATTCGAGGTGACTTTGAAGCTTTTTATCATACGCTACTGTGTATAATAATGGTATGCAAAGCAGGCATTGTGAATGAATGAAATGGCTCTTCCTATCCACAGTAGAGAAAGAATCCACAGCTATATCCCCACTCAAGGCTGCCTCTCTCTTTTGTTTTACCAGGAGCTCCTTACAATGACCCTTAGGTTGAGATCCCTGTGGAGAAAGAGGTTCCACATTCTCATCCTGAGGGTCCTCAGTCAGGTCACCCCCTTCATGTGGCTTCCCTCCATTGGAAACTGGGCAGCATTTCAAGGAGGCATCTGAGAAAATTGAATGTGCCAAGTGCTGAAAAGGCCTCTCCTGCCCATCCTTACTTTTCATAGAACAAGAGACTCTTGAAAGATTATTTCATTCTTTCAATTCCTTTTATGCCCTTGAGGCTGCTAATACATGTTCCTGCCTCCCAGAGAAGGGGAAGGAAGCACCCTGCTGAGTTACGGTCAATTCCTATCACCGAGCTAAGCCATCCTATTTGGCTAGCTCTCTCCCAGAGCACAGCAGAGCCGCAGAGGGATTGGGAGCAGTGTTTTAGAGCCGAGCGAAAGGGGGAGCTGGGGGCTGTGCTTACAAAGTAACTCTGGAGGCTCGGACCCTGCCTCCTGAGTGACTTGCTCCAGTGAAATGGAGAGAATAATCAAGAATTACATCATTTCTCTTACTGTTTTCCACTCCTGTTGTCCATTTACAGGACCCTCAAAAAGGTAAAGCTTAATTTCGAGGAGTGAAGTCCAACACGTCCAAACGCAGCTCCGTTTGTAAAATCTGTAAAACAAGGGGATGGGATTCAAAGGCCTCTGAAGCCCCCTCAGATTCTAGATCTAGGAGTGGATGGTCTTTGAACTTGTAGTTTTTCTAAACCAGATCTATTGGCTCAAAACTGAGAACCCAGGACCATAAATACTGAACTAGCCAAAACCTCAGAGCCAATCGGGCCCGGCTCCCTCATTTGTAGATCAGGAAACTGAAGCTGGGAGAGGGGAAGTGGCCACCCCCAGGGTCACACTGGCAGTAAATAATGGAGCTGGGATTTGAACCCGGGTCCTAAACCAACATGTCTTTCACTGTACTTGGCTGGAACTAACATTGAAAGTGAATGATTAGCCAGAAACTTCAAGAAACCTCAGCCTAGTTCCTTGGAGGACAGGGAGGAAGGATATGTAGAAGACCAGAATTGAGTGATTATTTGCAATTGTACTGTCTCTCACATGTTTTCCTATATACTGTGTAGTCACATCCTTTATGACACCTGACATGGTTCTGTTTGGGAGGAAGAGGCTGGAATGACAGATGGCATCGTCTTCTACAGACCATGCTGAGGTTGGGGGTGACCTGTTTAATGAAGAGAGGTAGTGAGAGCTAGATACCAATAGGGTCTCTATGATCCACTTCTAGGGCTAGCTGCATGAAGGGCCATAAGCACTACGGGACAAACGGGACTTTCTTCCAGGGTGTCCACATAGCAAGAGGCACGTTCATTTGTGGGAAGTTCTTCTCATAGTGCCCACTACCATCACATCTTAAACAATCAATTAATCAATAAACATTTATTAAGGACCTACTATGTGCCAGGCACTGTGCTAAGCTCTGGAGATGCAAAAATAGGCAAAATATAGCCCGTACCCTCAAGGAGCTCGTGATCTAATGGGAGAGGTAACATACAAACGAATATATACAATGCAAGCTATATTCAGGATAAATAGGAAATAATGAACAGAGGGAAAATTAAGGGTGGCCTTACTCATGGTCCTTGCTGGCCTAAGTCACCGAGCAGCCCAAGCTACCCTCACACAAAGACAGTTGGATTCTTCTGGCTCTCACCCCTGTGGAGGTTGGGGTGGGGAAAACTAGGCCACCCCACTTTGCCCTCAGGATCACACTTGCCATCCAGCTCACCTTTTCACCTCTACCTCGCCTTCGTGGAACTGTCTGCCCTCTGTCCATGGCCAACCCCAAATCAGAATCACGCTAACTGCCTTGGCTAGGTGGGCGAAGGTGTGATAGCGTTCTGTTGTGTTATCTGTAAAGTAACCCTGCAGGTGGCAGAGGGGACCAGCAGAGCAGACATCCCTCCCTGGGTTTGTAGCCTAGATTTTTATCTGAATAACCTTCTTATCCATACACCGCTGGGATTCTTGAACTCTTCTAAAAGTGACAGAAGCAGACTTGCTATTTCCTGGTGAAGCAACCTGAAGAGAGTGGTTTCATCCAGGAGAAGATGCACTGGTTTAGGATTCAGAGGAGCTGGGTTCAAATCCTGCCTTTAATGCTTCTAAGCTATATGACTTTGGGCAACTCATTTCACTTCCCTGGGCCTCAGTCTCCTCACCTATGACAGAAAAGGCCTCTGATGGCCTCTGAACTGAACAGCTATATATCTCGAGACCTATGATCCTAAGTGCTATGAACTTCTTGGCAGGCCAAGAACCAAAGCAAACTCAGTTCTTCAGCTTTGCCCCCTGGAAAAATAATCAGTGACTTTTCAACAGCCCCAGTTTGCAAAGCACTTTTCACACACTCTTTTAGTCCTAGAGGTACTATTATCCCCATTTTATAGATGTGGAAACTGAGACTCAGGCAGATTAAAGGTCATGCCCATGGTCACCCAGCTAAGAAGTACCCCAGGTGACATTTGAACCGATAGTAGGATCATAGGTCCAGCAGGGTCGGACGAGACCTCAGAGCCAAGAAAGTCCGACTGCTTCAAATGGCAGATGAGGAAATGGAGCCCCAGGGAAGTGAAGTCATCTACCCCAAATGCCACAGGTAGGCAGCATCCAAGTTAGGATCTGACTCTATTCCAGCACTCCATTCACTCCACCAGGCTTACTTAAGGGGAAGAGCTCAGAACTCAGGTTTTCCTGGGAGGTGGCGGCCACCCTCTCCCCAGGCATGGTGCCCTGGACTCCTAGGCAGCCTGGAGTCAGGAAGACCTTACTAGCAGTGTGATCCTGGGCAAGTCACTTCACCTCTATCAGCCTCAGTTTCTTCAACTTTGCAATGGAATAAAAATAGCACCTACCTCACATGGTGGTTGGAAGGATCAGATGAGATAATGTTTGTAACACACTCAGCACAGTGGCTGGCACATAATAGGTACTTCATAAATGCTTGTTTCCTTTAAGCTAACCCTCCTTCCTTCTTTTTGCTTGTAGCTACCTCATCCCTGAATTCCCAGCTCCAACAGCTTCAGCATCTCCAGCAACTCCAACAGCAGCAGCCCCCACCCGCACCCCAGCAGACTGGACCGCCAACCCAGCAGACCAACCAGCACCCACCACCAGCTCAGCAGCCACCCCAGCCTCAGCACCAGCTGCAGCCTCAGCCGCAGCCACCTCCAGCCCAGCAACCCCCACCTCCACCTCAACAGCCCTCGCAGCCACCAGCGTCATCTCAACCACCCCAGCAGAACCAAACCCAAGCTCCAACATCAAACCAGTCTCCGGCCCAGCAGGCCTCCAGCTCTCCCCAGAAACCCAATCAGTCCCCCGGACATGGCCTTCCATCACCTCTCACTCCATCAAACCCACTGCAGGTAGGCTTCCCACTGTGCTCACCTTTCTGTCCCCCAGGTGGGCAGAAAGTGCTTCTTGGCAGGCCAGAGTAACATGGTGCTGCAAACTGGGGGCATCTGCTTCTGTAAAGGTTAAAAGAAATCATTTCTCCTGGTTCTAGGCATGCCTCCAGCTCTGGGTTGTCTAATTCAAACTGGTCTCTTAGATAGATGAAAGAAGAAGAAAGCAGCATGCACCTGGAAGTGCATGCAAGCAAAACAAATGGACCCACATAGAAGCTCCCTCCCCCCACCCCACCCCCCAGGATAAATGGGCTCTCTTCCCTCCTGAGAGAGGCCCATGCAGTTAAGTGCACTTGGAGAATGCAATAATTCCACTTTATGATACTTTCTGAAAGGCAGCAGAGAGAGTGTCCAATTAAAATTATTACTGGCCCAGCTCTGTTGGTCAGAGAGGCTGCAGTGGGCCGCCCACAGGGCACAGTGGCTATTAGTCTGCATTATGAATACAGTCAGGTCTTGGTGTAAACTGGAATACTTGGGCAGCTGTCCCCCTCAAAGTCTTGTATGGTTTGTGGGATTTGGGGACCAGGGCCCCAGCCCAGATGCTCCCTGTCCCATCTTGCCAAAGCATGGCATGTCCGAAATGCCTGTGGAGAAGCTCGGAAGGAGCACCATTCTTGAGAAATTAAAATAAGAAGCCAGTCAGTTTCCTCCATTTAATAGATGAAGCTATAGTTATTCCCCAGGGTAAGGGAAGCTCATTATTGAAGATTGACTTCAGTTGTCTTCAGGGCTAAGAGGAAGATCTCAGGTCCCTGTAGCTTAGAATTTCAGGCCATTCTCTCATGAGATGTTCTTTAAGCAATCCAACCAGCTCCTTGGTCATGGGGACGTCACCAACACAAGAGACAGACAGATTTGCCCCCGAGGACCTAGATTCAGATCAGAACCCTTCAGCTTGCTACCTGTGTGACTTTGGGTGCATTCCTTCCCCTCTCCAGGCCTTGGTTTCCTCACCCATAAAATGAAGAGGGTTGAATTAAATGACCCAGACAGTCACTTTCCCCTCTAACTCCATGATCTCCTGGTCCTAGGGTTTGCCCGGGTGTGTTGGCAACTCTAGCTACCACCCAGTCTAGTTCATTTCCCCCCATCAACTGAGTGCCTGTTCTGCCGCCTCAGAGACATTGACTTTTGTGTAGGATGGTGAAAAGAATGCCGGTTCTGGAGTCAGACAATCTGCTTTCAGATGTCGCTTCTGTCACTACCTGGGTGACGTTGCACAAGTTCCTTGTGGCTCCAAATCTGTGATCCTGATCAGATCCTATCTGTGACCCTTTGTAAGTCAGTTGGCTCCTCAGTTTCCTCATCTATAAAATGAAGGGTTGGACTAGTTGGTCTCTAAGGTTCTTCTAGGCCTGATGCTATGATCCCAGCCAATAATTTATGATGGATGAGCCTTTGCTGCTCAGATCCCTAACTGCCTTCCTCATGACATGGGGAAGAGTCAGAGTGTTCACTGTTACCAGTCAGTGCTTGAAGATGACTGCAGTGCTTGGATGTAATTGGGTCCTTAGGCATAACAGAGCTCCTTCCATTTTGGGTGCTTTGGCCAAGGATGGGATGGGGTGAAGGTTCTTGTGGCAGACCAAGGGGCCATTGGAGCCCAGAATGAAAGCTGGAAGGGACCTTAGGAGACACTGTTCCTGCAAAATGAAGTCAACTTAGCGAAACCAGTTAGAATATTCTCATGACCACTGAAAGTCATTCCCCAAATTCGACTATGTGACTGGGTCAGAGCTAGAGATTCTCCTGCTTACCTTCGTCTGGCCTTCAAAGTTATGTAATGATAATAATGGTGATAACGAGTGTTTTTACTAAGGCTTACAAAGAGTTTTCTAGATGTGATCTCATTTGATGTGTGGCCACATAACCTGTAGACTGGGAGGGATGCTGGCCCAAAGGATTTAACATGTATGTCAACATCTGCTCAAAAGGGCAGGTATATCCATTTCATGGCTGAAATCCATGGTATGAGTCTTGGTCATTACAGCCCTCTGAGTGGTTTTTATTATCCTTTAGGTAATCAGTTCTGAAAGGAGGTCTAGCTAAGGCCTTTGATGGGGCTAAGATTAGACATATACACATTCCAAGATGCCAGGATTCCAAGATCCACACTCCCTCTGCCTCTCACAATGAAATCCACATCCATACACCTGCCAGCAGGGAAAAGAATCTTCTCCCCCAAACGATGCAAGTCTTTTCCTTTGTCTTCTGCCATTTAATGTGAGTGCAATATTCCTTTCATTTGGAGGTAAAAGCATAGGTGCTGGTGGACATTAACCTTTTCCAAGCACTGTCAGCAGCCTATAAATCTCTATTGAGCAACAAAAGCCTAGTGTAGACAAGTCTTTTTCTGGAATGGTTGAATAAGTGTTGACATGTCCTAAGATAGGTTGTACTTGAAACTGCCCAGAAATATATTCTCTTCCAAGACTGTACTAGAGAAAGCCTATAGGAATACAGTTTCTGTTTACAATGAATGAAGCCTTTATCCAAATTGCAATCCCATAAAAATGGAATTTTCCCACATTTGGGCTGGTTAGAATTTTAGTTTGTGATTTAAATAAATTTAGTTGAAGGATGTGATTTTCCCTTCTTCTTGGTATCTAGTGAATCGTTTTATAAAAAAGAGTTTGACCTACCTCTAGTGCTGGGAGTGAGTTTAGTAGGACAAGTGGCCAGCTCCATCCTGTCCCTTGGTTCATGCTAAGTGAAGGATGATTGGTAAAAAGTGACCACACGTTCAATGAGAGGGGGCCATGGGAGATAATAATAGACCCCCTTTTAGTATGCATGAAAGGAAATTCACATCTAAGCTGGTTTGCTGCAAACTTGTCCTCTAGCACAGTGGAAATGCCGACCACTTGGTTGCAAATTGTATTTTCTACAGCACCACAGCTGCTGGCTTTTTGAGTTTGGAGATACAGGGTCTGGTGTAACTTTTTCTCTTAAAAAACTATTTGGAACAAAATACAAAGATATTGAAGTCTCTAAGGTAATGATCTTTATGAACTCGAATGAAATGTTTTTTGTCTGAAGATTATTAAGGGAATAAAGACCAACTAAATTCAAATTTGACAGCTCAGATTTCATTTCTGAATTCTGGATTTTTCACGTGGGCTTTCTCCTCTTCCATTATTCAGAATCTGTCTGAGAGATATTAGTTTAGAACAATGCAACTTGGAAAGATTGTCAGGGAAAGGCAGTAATTCAGAAGGATGATTGCATTTGTTTCAAAAACTCTGAAGGATAACAACAATTATTTCTTGAAATCTACAGATGCTGTCATGTCTTCAGGAAGGAAATTAAATGAAAGTGACTTGCTTACCTAGGTGGGGTGGCTTCTCCAGCTGAACAAAACTTCATAATGTTTCCGGGGATGACCAAAGTTTTCCACGGGGTTCTTGGCAGGCCCGTCTGTACTTTCATTTAGCTCTGTGGCTCAGTTGTTTGCCAAGTTAAGCTCTTGCTCTAGAGCCAGAGAGGAGACCACAGTATTGTCAGAAAAGGCTCCACTTTAGGAATTGTTTGAGTCAGTTCCTTTGATCTCTAGGAGCTGGAGAGGTATGTTCTAAACTGGGAAGTAGCACCCAGGAGTGTCTAAGACATGGACATATTTCAAGGGGGTTGTGAACTTGCGTGCGGAAAAAAAGCCCATCTTTGTTTTCACTAACTTCTAACTGAAACTTAGTATTTTCTTCAAATCTGAATTTTAAAAAAAAACACGATTCTGAGGAGGAGTCCCTAGGTTTCACCAGACTGCCATAGGGGTCCATGACGCACACACATATTCACACACAAATGGTTAAGAATCCCTGGCCGGAGATGAGTATTCTTCCTACAATAGTATCATCTTACAAGGTCAAGTTGGAACAGGAGATGAGGCCTAAGGCAAATCCCCCTCCAACAGTGGGGCTTCATTAGAAAAAAAGTGACCCTAAAGTCATTTCAACAAGTATTTATTGAGCACCTGCCATGTGCAAAGCATGGGAGAGGCAACATGACATAGGGGGCTAGATAGAGGGCTAGCCTTGGAATCAGGAAACCCTGACTTCAAGTCCTGCTTCCAACGCATATCGACGGTGTGATCCTGGGCAAGTCGTTTAACTCCTCCAGGCCTCAGCCAACTTTCAAAGACTGTAAGTCATAACTAAGTTGCTGAGTGTCATCATTGGACAGAATTTCCACATTGGGAGTTCTGAGAGACTGCAAGTGAAATAACAAGTCTAGGGAAAAGAAAAGAAAAAGGCGAGGGAAGGGAAGGGCAGAAAAGGAAAGAAAAGGAAGAGGAAAGGTCCTGTGTTAAGTGATAGCAACACAAAGATAAAATATGCTTGCTGTCAAGGAGCATGTCTTCCACTGGGGAACTTACCACGTGCACAGGTCAATTAATACAAAGGACGTGGAAAATAAATTAGAGTAATTTCAAAGAGAGAATGTTGACAACTAGGAAGAATTAGGAACAGCCTCTGATCAGAAGTGGAACTTGAGCTGTGTCTGGAAGGAAGCTAGGGATTCCAAGAGGCCAAGGTGAGGAGGGGATACATTCCAGCCATGGGTACCACCTGTGCAGAAACATAGATTCAGGAGATAGATTGTCACATACAGGAACCAGTTAGCAAACAGGTTCACCTAGAATAGAGAATGTAGGAAGAGGGCAGGGTGAAATAACCCTGGAAAAACCTTTTTGCACCCACCTTCCTGAAGTTGTGTTTCCAAATATTAGCACTAGTGGTATTGAGGTGCCAATTAATCGATGCCAAAGTGAAGAGATTCCATTAAATGGCCTCTAAGGTCCCCTTTGGCTCTAATTGGCTAATTGGGTCATCCATTCTCTTCGAGTCTTGGCTCTGCCCCCGATTCACTGTGTGACTGTGGTCAAGTGTGTTCCCCTCTCTGACTATCAGTTTGCTCATCTGCTAAATGAGAGGGTTCAATGAGACTGTTCCTGAGTT